TATCTGTCTGTCTGTCTGAATATCTATCTGTCTGTCTGTCTGTCTGTCTGAATATCTGTCTGTCTGTCTGTCGGAATATCTATCTGTCTGTCTGAATATCTGTCTGTCTGTCTGTCTGTCAGTATTTAAAACATCTTAAAGTTAGATATTGTGAACTAGACTAGATATAGTTAACTAGTTAACCTTCTGTACTAGTTGTAAAATGCAGATGTGTTGATGAATGTGATTTTGTTTCAGGAAGAAAAAAGCAGAAGGTGGCTCAGGAGAAATCTGGATTATCAAAGGTAATTTCACACACATTTATTGTTACAGATGTTTGTTTTTTTTCTTGGTATAGTGAATTCTGATTGAGAACTAGCCATATGAAACGTTCCCTAATGGTTTTCATCTTTTCTATCTCTGTGTTTGTTCAGTTACCAGACCTGAAAGACGCCGAAGCCGTTCAGAAGTTCTTCCTGGAGGAGATTCAGCTCGGAGAAGAGCTGCTGGCGCAGGGTGAGAAATCATCTCTGTCTCACTCCATAGACAATGAGATAAACATTAAGTCCTCTCCATAACTACAAATGGTCACCCATTTTTTTTTTTGGTACATCAAGTTAAACTAAATGAAAATGAGAAATGTTGCCTTGGCAGCTAGCTGAAATAAAATAATTTTTAGGTTTTTATAATTCATCTTTATAATTTTTTTATTTGATTTTAATGTTTAATTTGTTTCAACTAGTGCTGTGCATCCAAAATAAAAGTTTTTGTTTACATAATATGTGTGTGTGCTGTGTATATTTATGTATATATAAATACATACACATACAGTATATATTTTTAAAATATTTACATGCATATAAATGTATATATTATATATATATAATATATAAACATATTTTTCTTAAATATATACATGCATGTGTTTGTATTTATATACTGTATACATAATAAATATACACAGTACACACACACATATTATGTAAACAAAATCTTTTATTTTGGATGCGATTAATCCTGAGTAATCGTTTGACAGCACTAGTTTCAACTAATATTTTAATCAACAAAATGATTTTTTTAAGGTGTTAGTTAACTGTAATAACTCTGGCTGTTAACCCTGGTCCCTCTCTCTCTCTCTCTCTCTCTCTCTCTCTCTCTCCTATTTTCATCCTGTCAGGTTGCAATGCTCTTACCTCGTTTTTAATACATGGTAAGTGCCACTGCAGAAATGGTTTTTGCTTTTTTATGCCTTTCCCTTGGGACACGATCACCATTGTCCTCATTTATGCATCACCTGTAAAAACAAAACAAAACAAAAAAACATAGAAACTGTAATACAACATGGAAAGATGTGTATATGCATGTGTGCACAAATCATTTTAAAATTGTTGTCAGGCAAGCTATTTATCTATTTAGTATTTAATTGTGCATGCTCATTTTTACCTTTTCTGTCATCTAACACTCGAATGTAATTTCAAAAGCATTAATAATTTAATTAAAATGAAATATTTAGCAAATCTCTAAAGGATGAATGTAGCGTCTGGACCAATCAAACACACAATTTTTCATTTGATTTAACAAATCAGTTATTCATTAGATTAACAAATCGTCACAGTCCCCTCACCCAATAAACTGGGTGCCAGGATGTCTGCAACGACACCAGGCCCCCCCTGGTCCCCATGGCAACCACGACACC